AGAGAACCTTACCTGTAAACTCAATGTCCATGTGAGATAATTTATTTGGACCTTCGGTAGGTTTTGGTTTTTGTAACAAGTTGAGATTTAGAGATGGGTATTTCCTATACTTTTACGTGTTCTTCACCATCTTAAATTATTAAACTTTGAGTTAAAAATTTTAAACTGAAGAGGTTGGTGGTAGAGCTAAGACTCCAAAAGAGTTGCAGTGTTTCCTACTTGATGTGTGTTTGCTGTAAATAGAGAATTGATTGTAAGTATGAATAGTTGTTGTGTGAAATAAAAATCTGCTGTTAAATTGAGTTCTTGAATACAGGTAGTGTGCAGAACTGATTGAAAGACATGAAATAATGAGCTAAAGCTCACACCCAAATATATGTACATTAAGTGTTTAAAAAAGGTTTTTGGTGACAATCAGCCTTCAACTAGAATTGTTTCAGTCTTGCTAGTACTTTGAAAATTATTTCTACATATTTAACTGCCTTTCAAAATAGCGTATATAGAGAAACTTAAGCAATTAGCATGGTTGATACTTAAGGACAATTCTACCTTAATTATTAACAGTATGTTAATTAGTCACTTAAAATAATTAATTACTTCATTCATTTCAGTTAATAAACGTTATGTTAACTGTTCTCTTAAGTATTTGGACACTTTACTTTCTTGAAAGCAAAAGCAGTTCCTTGGATGACTTAACTCATTCTGACAGAAGTTATGACGCAACAAAATTTCTGACCAGTGCAGTGTGATGGAGTTTGTTACTCTGTATTTGCCTCTGAGACTCATCCTGCTGCCTTCTTTGCTTAACTGACCAGACAGTCTAGGAAGTGTCTCCTGCCATAGACATTCCTCATCAGCACACTGACTACCAACAATCCCCTGGGAAATAGATCACTTTATTTTTTCCAGGAATTTTGTCTCTAGAATGGAGCGAAGCTCTAGGAACAAACTTGCTTAGCACCGCAGATGACCCTGTGATTATCACCTTCCCAATCATATGTATTCAGTGGTTCCTTGCCACTCTATCCACTGATCTGTTGCCTCCCACTTTGTTGTGTGAGAGATTGGGAATAACACCAGGGAATTCTTCACCTGGGTCAACGTGACTCCATGGCAAGCCACTCCACATATCTGACGCATGCTTGTGGATGCTCTTAAGAAAAGCAGGATCAGTTAGTGAACCAATAGTGCCAAAATATCCCCTCACATTCTGTAAAATGAAACAAAGCCTGCAAATATGCAAAGCCTGAAAAATACTCCATCAGTGAAGTCATATTCACATTGTTCAAATGGTTACTTTTACTGCAAGGGATTAAAAAGCAGCACCCTGTATTTTTTTTCTTCTACCTGCAGCCTTTCAGACCCAGTAGCTATGATCTTTACTAGACGACTTCAAGCAGCGAGGGGAAAAAACAAATTCCGCCGTTAAAGGCCAACTCAAGGAGAAGGTCAAATCCCAGTCCAAGGCATGTACAGTACAGTTTGTTAGGCACTTTAAGTGTCTTTGGAAATCTTTCCATCAAATAGCTTTCTTCCCAAAAAGTTAATAGTTGAAGACTTATTGCTTGTGAAGTTGACATATTGCACTGTACTAATATCCTGGATACTCTCTGACATGGGTTCAGTCATGTCAATTTGGTAGGGTTCATCTACAATAATTAGGTTTTTTATAATCTTGTCATTAACAGCAAAAATGGCTAGGAGACAAAACTAAAAACCATTAATGGCTATGCTGTTATCCTTTCTTGACCAAGACTACCTTATTCTGGCCAGTTCCGCATGGGTGTCAAACATCAACCCTTGAATTTCAAGTAGTGAAGCTTATTGATCAGAGCTCTGGAGTTTTTAAAGTGAAGTGCCTGAAGCTGGAATCATAGCAGAACTTGGGTCCTTAGGCTTTCCAGAGATGGTACTCTTTATGTGGGGCTGGCTAAAATACTTGTCTTGATGACCGTTGCTCTACAGTTTCCTATGCAAAGAATTCTATCAAGTCTGATAAGCACTTCAGCAGTAGCATCTTACTTTCTCTTGTTGAAGTCCTTGGTTCCATCCTAGTGCTTGTCAGTCCCATTAGAATTTGCATCTCTCTGTTGCCTGATTCTACAGCACATTTAAAAATAGAATCTTAGCCTTGGAGTTTGCGGAGACAGTGCACTCGTATGGGTGAATGAGGACTGAACCATTAGACCGGTACCTTACCGTGGGAGTTCAGGTTGTGGGAGTAACTGTTAAAGCTAATTAGAGTCTTGAAGATTAGGATAAACCTTGAGATAAAAATAATGACCCTTTTGTGGTATGAAAGAGTACTTATTCCTGTCAATCATTGAGCTATCCATAGACTACAGGTGGAGAACCTGAGAAGGGGACAGAATTGAGATGAAAAGTAGGTATTGACTAAATAACGAAGAGGTGAGGAAAATGAGGATGAAACAAAAGATTAACAGAAAGGGTGTCTTAGTTTGAGGTTCATGAGCTACAGGCTAGAAGCAGTACACACAGATGGTACACTCCCAAGCAAGCGTGGGAAGTTGTACACAGGTAATATACAGGATGTGAAGCCAGGTCTTGCGTAGCAATAGAACTTGAAGCTAAACAGGAGGTCTGGGAAACTGGAATGAAAGCTTGCATATCATAGTCTGTCCAAGGCTGTACAAAGACAGTGGGATAGTGGATGGCCAAAAGCTGAAATGTCAGTTTGTCACGGTTTCAGGTGTTTGACAGTTGAAATTCAAAAAAATGCATGGTATCCACCGCTTCAGATGGATTAGTGCAGGTGTAGGCAACCTATGGCATGTGTGCCAAAGGCGGTACGTGAGCTGATTTTAAGTGGCACTCACTCTGCCCGGGTCCTGGCCACTGGTCCGGGGGGCTCTGCATTTTAATTTAATTTTAAATGAAGCTTCTTAAACATTTTAACATACATACATACATACATACATACATACATACATACATACATACATACATACATACATACATACATACAACAATAGTTTAGTTATATATTGTAGACTTATAGAAAGAGACCTTCTAAAAATGTTAAAATGTATTACTGGCACGCGAAACCTTAAATTAGAGTGAATAAATGAAGACACTGCACACCACTTCTGAAAGGTTGCCAACCCCTGGATTAGTGCTTGCACACGAGTTGGTTGTTTGGCTCTGTGCATAACAACAAAATCAAACTGACAAGCTCTGTTTCTGAAGTACTGTTCTGTTGCATTCTAGACATACTGCAATTTAAACCTGGCTGCTAATATATTGTGAATGTGCCCAGTTCACTTGTGGTTAGAAGAGGCAAGTAGCAGAGGGAACCTCAGGCTTGAAGTAGAAAATAAAGCCCCATGCTTTGGGAGGAAATTAATCTAGATTGTACCATTGTGACTTTCAGTGTGGTCGTTTTTTATAATATGAGGCTTATGCATATGGAGAAAGACTTGAGAGAGGTGACCTATCATTTGTAGAAAAGTGACCAGCAGTCTCTTTGTGAGAGATAAGGAGACAAACTTGAGACGATGATCTCTAAAATACAGCTGCATCAGAAGTTTCTTTTTGTGTGTTTGGTTTTAATAGCTTTAACTACACTGTAGTGGCCCAAATGGTGCCATAAAACTCTATGGTGTGGAATATGAAACTGGAAGGACGTTCCTATGGGGAGTGTAGTCTGGCTGATTGGAAATAATCCACTCTCGCTGATGGAAAAAGGGTGTGTTTTCATGATTAAAAACAAGCATGAAGTAACAGTAAAGTACGGTTTCAACATCAGTGCTTGAAACTATAATGAAATATGTAAGAAATGCTACAATTTGTCCCAAATGAGACTAAATGTATATGTTTAATAACCGGTAAGATGATGGTCAGGGAAGAGCCTGCAGTTAGAAGATGCACATTTAGGGCATGTCTACACTTACCGTTCAGCTCACTAATAGTGACTTGTTTTTCTAAACTAGTACCAACTATCCCAGATCTGAAAGCTCACATTTAGCTATATTTTACTGTTACATTTTGAATTCCTGTCCCTTTCCCTCTAAACTCTATGGAAGTTTTTTTTCCAGCTCTGATACCTTTGATATGCTTACTGTGATGATGAGCAATTATTAAACTTGGGCAAAATCACCAGTTTGCACGTGGCAAGGTGTTTGCAATTGAAAAGCTTCCATTTGAAACTTCCAACCACATCTAAAATACTTGGGGGGGAGATGAGAGCAACTGTAGCAGTTAGGACTTGAAACTATTAATAAATGGATAAGATCTATTAAGTCTGATATAAACATGTATTTGAAATTAAAGTCAGCAATGATGTAGCTATGGTCAGTTGTCACATAAAGTACTTATATTTAATGTTGTTGGGAGTTGCTTGAAATCTCAAAGGAAATTTTCTAGAAGTCTGTTTAGAGTAGCAATTTCATTAAACTTGGTCAAAATAAGACATGCACTGAAAATTCTTAATGCTTTCTAAAAGCGTTCGGTCTTGGCGTTGACATGGTATTAAGAGTGGTCTTGGTAAGTATTAACTTATTAGTATTTTTGCATGTTAACTTCTGCCAGCAGTCTTTCTTTTTTTTTTCTTTTTTCTTTAAAACTAATTTGCGTGGTCCCAGTTTTTGAAACCCACAGTGGTTTTTTTAAAAAAAGAGGCTGCCACCTGAGTATATTGCACTGTCCCTTTAAGTTTGAAACATTAATAAAAAGCATGCTGTTACTGTATTGTTTTCTTCACTGATTTTATTAATCTCAAAGGCTTAAAATAGCTTGTTTATTCATAAACTACCTTTTCTTTATATCTACAAACTATCTTGTTAAGAGTTAATGAGAGCTGGGCAGATGGCATTGATTACGAAGACTTTGAAAGAGCGTCTTAGACTATAAAAACAGCTTTTGCATGATGATGCAAGTAGATATGATAGTTTCCAAAATGTTGCTTAAATAACTAGCTTTGTGAGGATGGAAAACACAAAATAATCCCTGGAAAGGATAATCTGTGGTGCATTACGTTACAGATATGCCATTTAAACAGACATCTTCTGTAGCTGTAGCGGGGGCTGTAATTGGAGCAGTTCTTGCTCTCTTTATCATTACCATCTTTGTGACAGTGCTATTGACTCCAAAGAAAAAAAGGCCATCGTACCTTGACAAAGTGTAAGTATCTTAATTTCTTAAACTAGAAACAATAAGCATGAAGTATTTGGCTGTATTTGTAGTAGCTTAAATGCTATAGTTACTTTGTAAGAAACAAAACTTTAGTATGTACTACTGTCAGTCTCTGAAACCAAAAGTGGTGTTGAGAAATTGAACAATGCAGAATCACCAGGATTTATAAAAAGAAAAAACAAACATAGTTAAATGAAGTATGGTAAGTGTCTTTTCCCTAGAAAAGCATAGCTGTTTCCAAGGCAAAAGGTTTGTGTTTATTTTTTTTAAAGTGCCGTAGTACACAATACTCTTTTTAACATCTGTTAAAACTAAAATATAAAAGACTGGTAAAGCAGTTAAAGTTAGTACACAAAATACAACCAACAGTTAGGGAGCAGGAGGAGGGTTGATGGATCAGGAGTTTGGGGGGGAAGGGGGGTCTGTCAGGGGCAGGGAATGGCTGGATGGGGCGTTGGAGTCCCGGGGAATCTGTCTGGAGGCAGGGTTGTGGATAAGGGTTGGGGCAGTTGGGGACAGGTAGTGGGTAGAGTCCTAGGGGGGCAGTTAGGGTGGGTGGGAGTCTCAGCAGCGGGCAGTCAGGGGACAAGGAGCGGGGAGGGGGTTGGAGGTTCTGAGGGGGGTGGGAAGTGGGAGAGAGTGGATGGGGGCGGGGCTCAGGTGGGGCTCTCCCCCTGTCCTCTTTTTTGATTGTTGAAATATGGTAACCCTATAAAAGTGGTGCCCTGGCTTGGCAGGGAGGAGCCGCCTTCCGGAGGCACCGGAGAGCCAGAGCGTCGGCTTGCAGGAGCAGCGAGCCCCAGCCGTGGAGGAGCCGGCATGGCACAGGGGGGCAGCAGCCCTGTAAAGGCGGCGGCACCACTATTGGGAAGCAGCTGTGCCCCCCGCACCTCCTGCCCAGGCTGTGGCGCCGGGGGGGGAGAGCACGCCAACAGGCTGCAGCAGATGCATGCAGTCGGCAGCCCCCATGTGCCCCCCGGCTCTCCCCTTGCCACGTTTGGACTTTGCAGCTCCCGGGCATGTGAGCTGCCACCTGCTCTGGGAGGGGCAGCGGCGGTGGTGGCTCACACTCCAGGGAGCCGTAGAGCCCAAGCGCGGTGAGGGGGCAGCCAGGGGGCTGCATGGGGGGCCGGCGCCCGCATACATCCGCTGCAGCTTGCAGGAGCCCCCCGGGGGGGGGCGTGCTGCAGCCTGGGCAGAGGGCGTGGCTGCTCTCCGCTAGCCGTGCCGCCGCCTTTGCAGGGCTGCTGCCCCCCTGCACCACGCCGGCTCCTTCATGGCTGGGGCTTGCCGCTGCAAGCGGGACGCTCTGGCTTTCTGGTGCCTCCAGAAGGCGGCTCCTCCCTGCCGAGCTGCTGCAGCAGCCCAAGCCTGGCAAAGCCAGTGAGTGGACTCAGGGTGGGAAGGGCTCGTGGGGGGGCTGTGCACCCTCCAGGGGAGTTCAGGGGGTGGGGGGAACCTGGTCTGGGGAGCAGTCCCTGGGCACGGTTGGCCCCTAGGGTCTATAAAGGCTCGTTGGGTTTTGCCCCTCAATGAACCGATGTGCGGGGGGGGAGGGGGGAGGGTGGTGGTATTTTGGCGGCGCTGGGGGGGGTTCGGCCCTCAGCAGTTTTCTTTGGAGTAATATGGCCCTTGCCACTTTACGAGTTGTGCAGGCCTGCAATGTACTAATGGACAATTCATTAAGCATTTTGTCATCATGTGTACAAGTGTAACTAGACAATACTGTACAGAGGTGTTTTATTCTAAGTAGATACAAAACAAACTGAACTTAATATAAATCAATACAGGTGACTTTAAATCTTATAAAAAGTATGTATAATCTGTTTGGCCCACAAAATGTTGTGCTAAGGTCCTATGTAATAAGGTAGGGGTACCAATGAATTAAAGGAATTATCTGGGGACCTCAAATCAAATTAATTGATTATACACAGACTAAAAAAAGTGTTTGTTTTTTTTGTTTTTTTGTTTGTTTTTTTGTTTTTCTTTTCAGGAACATTACATATGAAATACTTAATCAAAAACTAAAATACTTAACCAATCCGGGCACAAAACAAAATTTTCAAAAGTGCCTCAGTTACTTGGTGCTCAGTTTCTGTTTAAAAATAGACTGTTTTGAGGAGAGAGGGAGTGCCAGTGATTGATCTGGTGAAAATCAAGGTCCCTTCAAAGGGTTTATCAGGATAGAATAGAAAATTTGCATTAAATCATATCTTCATTCTTAGGTGGCTGCTGCTGCACTTGTTCATAGTTGAACTACACACTACAGTAAAAGAAAACAAAACTCTAGGCTCAGATGTTTAACTGCAGTTGAAGTTTGTGGGATCATCATGAATATTAAGTGGACAAAAATGAATCCATGAGGTACTAGTCAGATGGGACTTAACTGAGGACTTCATATACTAAAAGAATCACTAAACTACATGTTAAATGAAAAGTAATATAGACAAATGCAGTTAAGTCTTATTTATTCAGGTCTGCAATGCATTGTTAAAAAAAATCATTCTAGTTTACTTTGGCTGTTCTGGGAAAGTAAAGATGTAACAGCTCCTCCAGTTGCCTAGCACCTACACACTCACTCCTTCCTTGGTATATATTATGAGCTCCAGCTTCCAACTTCTCCTTCCACACCGGTATTTGGAGACATTATATGTAGAGAACACATTTGGTTCTCTCCTTTTCTGTGTAGAAATACTTTATCTTAATTACTGAAGAGTCACAAATAGGTATTCTCAGAAGAGAAGAGGTAACTTTCAAAGTAAGCAATTACCTAAGATTTACTCAAATCTAACAAAATTCATTAAGGATGATAATGTTGGGAATCCCTCTGAGACCTTTTCCCATCAGCTTCCCAAGAACTCAGTTCCACTTCATCACTCAGGTATTTTTATTTGGCGTACAACAGTGCTATGCTAAATTGATCAGACTCAAACGCAGTGGGCTGGATGCAGGGTACATCACAGCTCCAAAGTTGCACAGAAGCCCTCTCACTTATATAGGTATATACAAAGAGATGTGTTGTATATAAAATTACACCTCTTTGCATTTACTACACATTACATCACATATTTGTGGATTGGCTTGGTTACTTTGTGGGAACCAATGCCCATGCAGCATGCTCTGTCCATGGTTCGACTTCCTCTTTATCTCATCTCTACGTTCCTAGCTTATTTGTCCCTTATGTAGCTCACAGCAAATAGTTCCCTGTGTGTTCTCCCTCTTAGGTTAGTTTGCTAAGACATTCTTTTTAGTTTACTGACCTATATACTTACCTTATTTAGTGCATATATCCTGTTTTTCAGTCCAATGACCTGCCTAATCCTGTCTTCCAAAGAGTGAGGTCTCCCTGTGTGTCAATTACTCCTGTCTGGCCAGGCCTCAGCTAGAAATAATATCTAACATTTGAGTATTCATAATTAAGATTCTTAGTACACTGAAGTCTTTCCCATAATTTTAAATTGAACATAGAGAAATAAAATAATTCCCATTGTTTCAATAAGTAGTACTTTCTTTTGTACTGCAGACAGTTATCCAAAGTAAACCTCTCTTATGCAAGACTGATTACAAAGAATGCATACGATATGAAGAATAACTAGTTAAAGACTATGAAGGGCCATGTAATTGGTGGTTGCCAATAGGTTATGTTTACAAAACTCAGTTTCATTGTAGATCTATTAGTGGTGAGAGGAGACAAGCTGTAGAATATGTATCCAGGGCATTTTTGAGTTGGTTAATGTTTCTGTGAAGGTATTACTGTGGAGAATGTTGACTTTACTGTTCATTTGGTCTTCATAAATATGCCAAGTCAAACTGTATTATCTCTTTATGCAGGATTGATCTTCCACCCACACACAAACCACCACCTTCATATGAGGAAAGATCACTCTCTGTATCTCAGAAAGAAGTCATTCAGGTAGGTGAATGAGTGATTTTAACATTTCAAAACGGAGAATAAGCATGTGCTAACTAACATTATGTGGCTTAAAATAATACTTCAGTGTTAGATGTACAGCTCCTTGTAATGGGAATTGACTAATGTTGGATTTCTGCAACATGAAGTTGTTGATTTAAACTTACGTGGAAGAAACTACTATTTTACTGAAGTATTAAAACAAAGTATTAAAAGGGTTTCATTTTAATTAGCTATTTGTTTTCTCCGCGTATAATATATTAATTTTATATGGAAATGCCATAATTTGCTGAAATTGGCATGTATTAAACACAATGCTGTAGCTGCTCTAAAGCAAAATAACTCGTAAATGGTAGTTGGTTATTTTATGCTCCAGAATATTCTAGTGCACCTGAAAAGATGGGGACAGAACTGCATTGTGAGAAGTATTAATGGTTTGTCCGCCTAAGCTTCCTTACGCAGATGAATTAATAATGCCCCCGGACATGGAAGAACCACAGGAGCCGCCATCCTGTTAACCTAGTGTATGTGTGACGGGTTGAATCACAGAAACCCCCTTGGGAACTGCACCCGATGTGCAAAGACTACCCCTGTTCCTGTTTTCCCTGCCAGCTCAGGGCTCCAGCACCCTGTCTTGCTGAGCCAGACACTCCCATCTGCTCCAACACAGACCCAGGGTCTGAATCACTTGTCCCAAAGCTGCAAGTTTACCTGAGAACAGCTCACAGAAGTGTGCTTGTCTTTAGCACTTAGATGCCCAACTCCCAATGGGGTCTAAACCCAGATAAATGCGTTTTACCCTGTATAAAGCTTATGCACGGCAAACTCATAAATTGTTCGCCCTCTGTAACACTGATAGAGAGAGATACACAGTTGTTTGCTCCCCCAGGTATTAATACATACTCTGAGTAAATTACTAAATAAAAAGTGATTTTATTAAATACAGAAAATGGGATTTAAGTGGTACCAAGTAGTAACAGACAGAACAAAGTAAGTCACCAAGCAAAATAAAATAAAATGCGCAAATCAATGTCTAATCAAGCTAAATACAGATTCTCACCTTCAGAGATGCTTGAGTAAGTTTTTCTCAGACTGGACACCTTCCAGGCCTGGGCACAATTCTTTCCCCTGGTACAGCGCTTGTTCCAGCTCAGGTGATAGCTAGGGGATTCTTCATGATGGCTCCTCTCTCCTTTTGTTCTGATGGCTCCTCTCTCCTTTTGTTCTCTTCCACCCCTTTATATATCTTTTTCGTAAGGCAGGAACCCTTTGTCCCTCTGGGTTTCCACCCCCCAGTCACTGGAAAAGCACCAAGTTAAAGATGGATTCCAGTTCAGGTGACATGATCACATGTCACTGCAAGACTTCATTGCCCACTTGCTAGCACACACACATACAGGAAGACTAACAGGTAAACACAGCCATCTGCAGACAATGGTCCTGGTTAATGGGAGTCATCAAGATTCCAAACCATCATTAATGGCCCACACTTTACATAATTACAATAGGCCCTCAGAGTTATGTTTTATATTTCTAGTTTTAGATACAAGAGTGGTACATTTATACAAATAGGATGATCACACTCAGTAGATTATGAGCTTTGTAATGATACCTTACAAGAGACCTTTTGCACGAAGCATATCACAGTTGCATTATATTCACTTATCAAATCTTTATAAAACTATCCCAGTTACGTTATATTCACTTATTATGTTTTTATAAAACCATATAGACTGCACAGCGTCACAGTATGGTCTTTCAGTAATGGAGGTGCCTTACAATGATGGCTTCTGTGATGGGGTGGCAGGCATAAGCCACTGAATACCTTTGTCATAATTGAACTAGTCAACTCTGCTGTCAGTCAGACTTGGATGACTTCATTTACTAGAAAGGTTTGTTCTGTAATAGGCAACATATATACAACTAATTTTAACATTCATTACG